ATACATCAAATTCATACTAGATACATATAAAAGATACATGAAATTAATATATATATATATATATATATATATATATATAAAATAAATAAATTTAAGGGGTTTAACTTGTGCACACTAATATCATTATAAAAACATATAAATTTAATTTATATACATTGATGATGCGAATTTTCTAAATTATTTTACCTATCGATGCATTTTAACTTGTTACAACTAGTAACCTACTTATTTTCGGTTAATAATTTGTAGGATATAGTTATTATATTGAGTCTTGACTTGATAGTGTGTTAATATCAAAAGTAATAACTTGAAAGTAAGATGTTATATATAATTACAAATTAAACTATACCGATAGTGTAAAAAAATAATTATATGGTCTGGTAAACACTAATTTAAGTTATAGTAAGAGACAGGAAGCTTCCTCCATGACCAAGAGAGGCTGTAAAACGACTTGATCAAATGTTACAGTTTTTTTTTGTAGTTTTCTTTTTGTCTTTTCATAAGCGTTTCTTTTTCTCATTAACAATAATATATATAGGTTAAAGATAAAAAAATACAGACACCCTTTAAATTATTCAAATAATTTTCCCCAGAGTTCTTGTTTAACTTGGTACTGGCTGCTTTCTGAAAAATAATAACAATATACTCAAGTATATAATCTCAAATATGATAGGATAAAAAGGTGTTAAAGAATGACAAAAAGTTCCACATCGGTGGTTAATGAGATGGGTGGACGCCTTATAAGGCTTGGGCAATCCTCCTCCCTTTGAGCTAGCTTTTGGGGTGTGAGTTAGGCATTAAGACCTAATTTAAAATGGTATCAGAGTAGGGCCCGTCTCACCCGATGTTGGGGCTCCCAAAATCAAAAATTGCCCACGCACCAGATGCTAAGCACCCCCAAAATCAAAATTGCCCACGCACCAGATGCTAAGCACTGGGCGTGAGGTGGGGTGTTAAAGAATGACAAAAAGTCCCACATCGGTGGTTAATGAGATGGGTGGACTCCTTATAAGACTTGGGAATCCTACTCCCTTTGAGCTAGCTTTTGAGGTGTGAGTTAGGCCTAAGACTTAATTTTAAAAAAGGCATGATCTTAGAACCCCCAAACACAAATCTCTTGCAGGCCAGGATTGTTTATGAACATTATATTATTCATAATTAGCAAGTGCCTAAACAAAATATGATATCTATTCTTAGCCAATGATTATGACTTTAATTATAATCATATATTAATTCAAATCATAGTTGATTTGTTATAAAACCTTTTAGTTGGTGATTCGAAAAATTTATCGTATAAACGACACTTAAATACGTAAGAATATGTTACTCTATCGATTGAATTATGTCGAAGCTCTTTGTTCTTATTCATCTGAATTTAAACGCTTTGTCTTGGTCCTATATATATTTGTGTATGATGTATTTTCTCTTGACAAAAAGAATTGAAGTAGTTGAAAAGAAGGAAAAGACAAGACCACAAAACCAAATGAATAAAGCTGTTGTTCTTGGTTTTCGAATGGCATTTTCTCTAAGAGATTTTGATCCAAAGATCTATCAGAAACAACCTCTCGAGTCTCAACCCCACTAAAGTAGGGGTATGATTTACATCCTATCCTATCCTCCTCAAATCCCACTTATATGATGAAGTTATTTAAAATGTAATTGTTGTATAATTGATGAATAACATATTAATTTAACATGATGTTTGTAACATTTTTTTTTTACTGACAGTACTATAATAACTAATATATCCTTTTAAGGTATTGTTCAAGGTTGATTTTTTGACCAAGTCTTACCATATACAGAGGTATTTGTCAGTGTGACAGATCTTAACTGCCGCACTCTACCAAACTGTCATTTGGTACAAACAACGTCATGTTTTTTCATAAGCTAGAGATAAAGGTGATGAATGTAGTAGGTTGAATTCGGGGTGAGTTTTTTTTGTGTACAATGGGGTTTACGGGTATCCAATAACTTTTGCATGAATATTGTATTTGTATCTGTATTGAAAAATCCAATAAATGTATAAGAAATACGATTTGGTCCAATGGCAGAAAAGGAACCTTTGTTTCCCTCTTGGTCATAGGTGGGAAACCACAAACTTCAAATCATGGATCCGCCTAGGGGTTGATAGCCAGTGCAAAAATAATTAAAATGTGACAAATCCTCTAAACATACACAGAGGATTTATATAATTTACTGCAACGAGTTTTGTATACAGATTGATTGTTTATTGAACTTTTTGAATTGATTATGCTACAAAAGTGTGCTCAAAACTATTGTAAAAAATTTCTGTAGCAAAATTGTGCTTAGAGTATTCTCTCTCAAGTCTACAAGCATTCCAAGGTTGGCATATGTTTATTGGCACATCTGGACTCTGGTCTCTCCCCAGTTTGCAATTTATCAGCAACAATCCTGAAAAAGAATTTGATGCGTAAACAAGGATTTCTTTTGAATCAAATAAAAAACTTTCAATCACAGTGATGGACAGTCAAACAACACCGTATCTACATAACCAACATAAATTACTGAAACGGAAGGGCCACGAGATTATGCTGTTTTGAATTGTGCACTCATATGAATTAAGATCAAGGTGAAGAGAGATATTTCAGGATGTATACTATTTCCTAGAAGAATATTGTCGTTATATTGATGCAAATTGGGCAAAGGTTGCCTTCAGGATGTTAATCTGTCACTAGCATGTTGCTTACCTCCCACCTGCGTGAAAGATACTCTTCTAGTTGGGAAAAAAATGCAACATAAAGGAGCTGAATATGCAAGTTTATGTATGAAGATAAAAAGAGTTTATCAGAGAAGATAATCATATTGTAGTAAATGATTGCAGGGCACGATGTTTAGTTAGTTCATAATGTAGTTAAAGAACAAATAATCTACAAGTGCAAGAGACAATGTCAAATCAGCATGCAATTATGAAGTAAGAAACAAGAAAAGGAAAGAAAATAAATAAGTGAAGCTCTTACATGGTTGGATTTCAGCATGTTCAGATAGATAGAAAGTCTCTTGACATGTTGCCAGTGAGCACTGAGTAGCAGCATTGGTGAGTGTGTTTGCAGTCTCGTTTAGTATGCCTGGTCTGGATAATCTCGAAGCCTAAATCAGTCATTGAAATACATCAAAATGCATCAGGTAATTTCACATCTTATGTCCTCTTTTACATTTGTATAATTGTATTGAACAATGTTAATATGCTGCACCTAGATGCAGAATCATCACAGATTAGTCCCATAAATCATTTCTACAGATGATGTTAGCTGCTAATCGAACAGAGAATCTGGATCTTTGCCTTCAGCACGCCAGCTGAATCACCAATGATGGGAGAAAGATTAACTCCTTGAGGGGTTCCCTGATAGCTGCAGAAATTTTTTTGTTATCAAAGGGAGTTATATGCTAAATGATATAACAACCAATGTTCAAACTTAAGCAAATTTTACCTGTGTCATTCTATGGAATAGAGTAGCCAATGTGACTGCCGGTACGTTATTATTCAAAAGTACACCAGCTTCCAATGTATGTTTGAGCAGCACCAACAGAGTGGATGTATCAGCTAGCCAATAGGATATTATCATCATTTTCTAGGGGCTTTAATAACACTACATTTTACAACGGAAAGCTACCAGCTTTTATTAAATCTGATCAATTCTTCGACATACAAAATTCTAACAACTTTAATTCCTACCTCAATAGCTTGAGTCCTCTCAACCGCCACTGCATAAGGCACTTGTAGATAGTGCAAGCATGACCAGATCTGTCCTCAAAGAAGTCAAGAGCACAGTGTAATACAGTGTATGAACAAGTTCTGGTACCCCTTTTTCTCATCAAGTGATTTTTGCGGTCTTCCCTCGACCTCTTAATTAACACTTGAATTCAGTGATGTGATCTGTTGATCCTATTATAAATCCCAGTTCTTAGTTAACTGATAGAACAAGTAAGCAAAATACTCGAACGACAATGTAATCTACAAGCCTTTGAATTACTATGTTACCGTTTTGGCTTCAGACCTCTTACAATATGACATAATGGGTAAGAGTAAGCAAAGATAAAGATTCTAAAGTCAAATATGAGAAAGATTTTACCCAGGATTACCTGAATAATTGATCTGGAGCATCCAAACAGCATGTATTGCTCTGAGCCATTGACAGAGCCTGCTGTTTCTTTTCCGAATCTAGGTTGGTCAGCTTTTCACCAACCTATTGGAAAAGGTTAAATAGTTTTTTCATAACTAAATCCAGAAATTTCAACTATTCCAAGATGTCCATTTTGTAGTTCAAGGATATAAATAATAAACATAATTTTGGTGCATTGACAATTTTCATTGTGAGTTACCAAACTAATGGTTCAAACAAATTAAAGAAGAAAATGAGACTTGTTTCGGGTAAGAACACAATGTGATAACAAGTCTATGGATCAACATTTTATTTCCCTACTTGATCCTGGCAGCACCATTTGTTGGAGCCATACAACGAAAGGGTATTTTAGAGTTCTGCATGCAAAAGGAGTGGTTCTAACTCATAGAGAGCAGCAGGCTTGCAAAACAGCTCTTGCAGGTCTACATTAAATTGACCATTTTACTTAAATTACCCACTTAATCGCACATAAATTCAGAACATAAGAGAGTAGTTCATGGAGAAACTACAATACCAGAATAACTTTTGTTTGAGAGAAACTGTACCTGATCATGCTGCTGTACAAAGGTAGTTGTTTAGATCTGGTTGAGATGACTGCTAAAAGCCAAATAGGCTAACCATCTAAGGCTAGCATGTATAGAGATATACCAAATTGAAGAACATTTTCCATCAGAAGAAGTCATCAAATATCCCGTCCCGGTCATTTTCCCAGTTTCCAGAACCTGCACAATGCAACCAACCAAAAGGAAGGAAGGATATATAATACAGTTTTCTGAAGCAGGTTCAGTTTAAGAAAAAACAAAGAGAAAATGAAGCATGTAGCTACAACTAAGCTATCAATATCTATGGATAAAAGGGAGACTTCTACTAAATGGAGAACAAGTGCACGTTCCCCTACTCTTTTTTTTATCTCAGTAAATGTTGCCATACTTAAGAACTAGTAAAATTGCTCAAGCTACCCTAAGGGACACTATACTGACCTGAGATATCAGCTGCTGCCAGATCCTGAACTATAAGCTGAAAAGCATGAGAATCTGGAGAAGAAAATTGGGTTGGAGTTGAGCCAGGAGCTGGAAATGTAAAGTCAGAGTTGGTACACGTAGCATCAGCTGAAGCAGATGTAGCATCATCAGGATAACCTCTAGAAATGAGTCCTGAAGCTGAACTCTGGCCGGAAGAAGGATGTAATATCATTTTCAGCTCTGAGAATTGGTCTGATATACTGTAAATCATCCTGAGGCACACTAGATCATATCTAGTATTAGTCATATGACACGAGATTCTAATGTTAAAAAGGAAACTATAAGATGTAACTCCAACTTATAGTAAAAATATTAAAGAAGTCTTCAAGGTGTTGACAGTTTAATGATGACCCTACTTATCATTACTTATCCTTAGTCCCGTTTGTCTACTACGCTTGTTTTCATTCGAGTCTCTTTTCCAGATGCATCCTAAAAAGTCGCTAATTAAAAGATCTAGGTGATTATATCCCATTTCACCAAAGACTCAAGATTGCTTTCCTCGGTAAAAGAAACATGCTCACAAGGTTTCCAAAGTAATTCAACAAAAAGCAGGAACAGGATATCACTCGACAAAAATGGAACTTCATAAGAAAAGGAGCTAATAGATATCAAGCTGTCTTAAGTATTTTATTTAGAGCTTAGAAAGGAAAAATCTTTCCCAAGATAAACAGTTCTGCTTTCTTTCCTCAGTAGGAGGGACTATGCTGACTTTTATGATATTACCAACCACACAAAAACACAACATATATAAAAGTAAAAAACAGAAGAACGCAAAACAAGGAAATTTTAATATGCCATGGATATTGTTATATGTTGCTACTCCATTCTGGTCTGAGCCAAGACTTGAAGAGAATCTTCCTCTTTATTACTAAGAAGAAAGTAGATAAAAGTGAGAGGGAAACAAAGAGATCTTTTTTTGTTGTCTTTTACTGGGAGGATGCAAGAGGACAGAAAAGACCAGCTTGAAGCTGTCAATGATTTGAGGCAATCTTATCCATTAAATTCTAAGACAGAGATCAATTATATCAAAGGTAATTCTGAAATGAAATTCCATGGATGCCTTTGCACCAATGAAAAGCTTGAAAGCTTCATATAACTCAGCAACTAAAAAAAACATCAACATTATGGAATGCATGTAGGACTCCAGATTCAGTTTTACCATAAAGAACCAGCACACATCTGTCTTAGTAAGATTGTTGCCAATAACAATCTTCAAAATTATATGTTGCCAACAACCAACTTATGGATCCCTGACTACAGTAGGATCTAACATCTTCAGAGTTACATGATTAACGCAAAACTACTGAAGATGAAAACTTTTGTTTCAATTCTTGAAGCAAGATGCAGCACATAATTTCTCAAGGGGTCACCAGTCATATTCTGCTCTTGCTAAAGAATGCTTAGATTTGGAGTTCTGGTGGAATCAAATGCATTAGTGATACTATGATAACATCCAATGATCCAAACTTTCAGTGAAAGCAAAAGGGACAATACGAAGGAGACCCCCAAAATAAATATAGAAGGTTATAGAGGATTCACAGCACTTCATTTAATAAAAAAGACAGAAAAGAAATATGCATTTATAGCAAGATATGAGACCACTAGTCGAAAATCTATGCGACAAGAAGAAGATAAAAGATAAAATCTATTCGAAAATTTCCAGAGACCTACCGGGAGAACTTGACAAATTCTAGAAACTTCCCCGACATAATTGCCTATGTACCCTTAGATAACCCCAGCCCAATCTTGCAAAACAGGAAGTTGATCATGTTTAAATTATCATTTCCACCAAGTAGTCCACAATGATTCGACCAGTTCTATATGACCAATTCAGTTCGTTAAAAGAAGATAATCGTCCAGGCTGAGTGGTTCAGTAATTCTTTGTTCTTTCTTTTTGTTTGATGAATCAAATAAATCATTTCATTAATAAGCACCAAGGTGATGCCGAAGTTACAACAATTTCGAAGGTGTTTGAAAAATCCATTCCATTGTCTATACATAATGGAATGCTTTCTTTACACCGACAGTATAGATACAATAAACTCTTGATCATCCATGTGATTTTCAACTCCTCCAAGCATCCCTTTTTCCATTCTCTTCATATTTACCAAAAGATGTATAGGTTGCTAACCTCCATATTTTCCTCCCGTCTCTCCCCACTTTTATCCTCCAAGATGCTAGTTTCTGCATTAGTTCTAGGGAGTACCCAAGAGATATTGGACAAAGAATACACCTTACTCCAAGGTTCTGTTGCATAGTTGGAGTGAAGGAGCAAATGATTGGTGTCTTCTCAATTCTTCTTGCACATACAACACTGGTTATAATGATGCATCCCCTCTTCCTCAGGTTATGCGCCGTGAGTATAGCATCCCAAGCAGCACTCCTTGTAAAAGATATCTAGAAAATATGATATTAAGACTAATTTGTTTATGCTATCTTATATGTGTATATTATAAGCCAATATAAAGATATGCCAATTATTTGTCTTGGCTGAGCATTTTGCCATGATGAGCAGTTCCAAAGCAAACGAAGTTAAGTAATCTGAAGTTACTGAACTGCTTACAGAAATCTATCAATGATTGAATTCAAATAGTATCATGTCATTTAGAATCAAAATCAAATATTGAACACAAATAGCATCATGTCTTTAGAATCTTCCTGAAGGACACATATCACATTGCTTCAGAGGGACACTAACTTAAGGACCCTTTCAGGGACATTTTGAGCAATTTACCTATTAATCACATGACAAAATTCATATGAGGTTTGTACATTAAAAGCAGAAGATGATGTTAGAATTAGGTAAAAGAGTCCTGATTAGTTTCTGCAGTTAATTTCTGAAATCTAACCCCCTCACATGAAATGGTTAGAAAGAACAGCTGGTAATTTCACACAGAAATATAACTCTCAAGTTTGTATTCAGTTTTAAATGGTTCAGAAAGAACGAGAAAAAATATATCCCCCCCACCCCCCAAAAAATAGTATATTTTAGAGAGCATTTTCACAGTTGATAAGTTTATCGACTCAGAAGTTGGTGATTTATATTGTTACAAGATGAAAGGACTAAATCTGGTACCAATTATTCGAGTAAAGGTACCTGTTAACTGAATCCTGAAGTTGTTGAACTTTTCTTTCAGTTTCTTCCAACTTCCGGCACTTCTCTTTACTTGATTCTTGAACTTCAGCACATTTCCTCTCAGAATCATCAGCACGTTGCTTTTCTTTTTGATATAACACCTATCAATAGGTATAAGCATGAGAACATCAACATTCAACCATATGTAACTGGAAAAAGATGAATGCTTTCACCTATTTTTCTCTATCTTCTCTACTCATTTTCGGGTTAGGACGAGGGAATGTGAAGCTGAAAAGTTGTGGGGATCACTCTTCAGCTGACAGTTCATACCTTTAAAGTTTTCAACTCTGCAGTTAAAGATTCAATGATTTCTTCATCCTCGACAAGAATTGGTTTCTTATCAACAATCAAAGAGTCTTCTTCAACTGCTTTTGGAGCAGCCTCATATTCCCTGATGGGCAGTGTATCTGTTTCATTCAGTTTGCTTTGCATGTCTCGCATTGAATTATGCAATTTTGCTATTTCCTGATCCTTTGCCTCTTCCAAGTCCATCTGCAAGGTATTTTCCTATTTGTGAGTTGCCGAATGCTTCAAATAGTTCAGCTTTCTCAAAATGAAAACTCGTAGTAACCCACAATCCTAAGATTGGCAAGACTGTTTAACTTTAAGGTAATATCTTATTTTATCAATGCTATCCAATTAAAATCCTCAAATGTATTATAAATATAGTGTAAGGAAAAAGAAAGATTTTATCTGCTTAGCACAAGTATATCACCCTTAGACGTTTCTCCAACTGCAACTGCAATCTAAGTTCTTCCACCTGTTTTTCAAGCTTATCCTTTGCCTCTATAAGCACACCTGTTTCTTTTGAAGCCTGAAGTATTTGAAATGTATATTAGCAAAATCCATAGAATTTAAGGAATATATTTGTAACATTCAACAGATAAGCCTATCAAATTGCAAGCAACAGTTTTGATGCACTCTACTGTATTTCACGTGGAAAAAGCCAATCCCGATCCCACAGCAGGAAATTTAGGGGAATCATGTCACCAAAAATAAAACTAGAAAAGAATTGAGAGACTGCACTAGCTAAGACCAATGACTTACACCTGGTTCTTTTTCAAAAGCATGTTTTACAACGTGCATAGCTGTGTTAACCCGATGTGACCACTTACACTAATAACTACTAGCACTTAAATATCTAACTATTAGCATGTGACTTATACATCCAAAGTAAGTGACACATACATATGTTCTTCCAATTTGTACAGTTCCTATATTAAAAAGATATCAGTACTTCTGATCTGTTTTTAGAATTCTAACCACTTGTCTACAAGGTTTAATAACAAGAATCTTTATAGATACTTCTTACTTCCGCTGAAAGCTTCAGAGAAGTAATTAAACAACCCCTTCATCTACTCTTGTTATGTAAATAATAGTAACAAACAAGTGAACCATATACCATTATTACGCGGTTAAGCAAACTTATACTACTTAATTACTCATCATAGCTATAGTTTGCTATAATTACCACTCGAGACTAACATTATACATTAATTACGTGGGCTGACTTCGATTTTGTATAATTAGCCACGTTGTATATGTATAATTCGCCAGAATATACAAATACATATGTATAATATACAATTATATAACCGTTATACATATACAATTCACCTCTCTCCCACTCTCTGCCCTCTCTCGCTCGCCTCTCTCCTCCCTCTCCCAATCTCGCTTGCCATATATACAAATGCATATGTATAATATACAATTATCTAACCGATATACATATACAATTCATCTCTCTCCTTCCTCTCCCAATCTCGCCCAAACGTACCTGCGAATTATACAAACAAGATGTGAATTATACAAATTATTGTCCTCTCTCGCTCGCCTCTCTCCTCCCTCTCCCAATCTCACTTGATATATATACAAATACATATGTATAATAGACAATTATCTAACCGATATACATATACAATTCATCTTTCTCCCACTCTTTGCCCTCTCTCTCCTAGTCTCGCTCGCCTCTCTCCTCCCTATGACATGTAGCTACGAATTGTAATTATCAAACTATAGCTATGGAGAGTAATTAGGCTATTTTTGAGTGGCTATATGTGAAAGTTCCTCTTCAGTAATCAAGCTCTATCTAACAAATAGATCATTCAGGCCATTCATATCATCACCCCATTGCTATGCTAAGGAAATCGGAAACATATGACACAGGTTATAGAAGAGTATAGTAATCCAGAACTTACCATCTTTAGTTTGCGAAGCTCTCTCCTTGCAACAATTCCCCTCCATCTGCATTGTGTAAAAATTGATGCCCATATGAGTTTCCTATAGTATGAAAGGACTTTGTGACGGCGCTCATAGGCCTGCAAAAATCATATCTTGTCAACACTTGAGAACAAACTTTGTAAGACCTCTGAATCTATACATAATACCCAATAAACTAACCTGTATAATCAGAGCTCCCTTGGTTCGCTTTTCATATCTGAACTTAGTTCGTGCAGCTGCCACTCGAATTCCAGTCTGAAGAGCAATGACTGCTAATTTAAGTTTCGTGTAGGATTTTCTGGCTAAGTGTCCACGCAACTTTGTCTGGATTTTGAGAGAAGCAGCCTCTCTTTTCAAGGTAACATATGATTTGAAAGCAAACCTTGCTGAAGAATATGACAGAGTGAGCACATAAATTTATTGAAGGCAGAAAAATTGAGCAGCCTATTGGAATGGTAGGCTGTTTATTTCCAAATGTCCTTTCAGTTCTAAGAGGGCGAGAAAATACAGCTGTTATTTCCATGGTGCTCATTTTTACAACAACAAAACATGCATAAGTGATCTAAGTTTAAGCACCTAACGAGGAGGATGTCTGACTGATGGTATTACTTTACTATCATATAGTTCAGACAATATACACAGATTAACTGATTAAGCAATTGTGTTACATGCTAAGCTGCCAAATTACGTTTGAAAGAGCCCTTAGACCATGGTGATGGAAGGAGATTATGGAAATCGAATCAATGGTTAGAAACTCTGTGAAAGGCAAAAACAATAAATATTCTGAGAACAAGAAGTATCTATCCAGAAAAGAAATTCCAATTAATAATTTTATTAGGCTCGTCTAAAGAAGAATTTGATGATAGTACAGATATGAAAGCAAAGTTGATTTGTTTCGTGGTCTTTTACTATCTGTAATAAGACAATCAAACATACATCAATATACACAATGGTATATTGATAATCCCCTCCGCTTCCCACATTTAAAAAAAAAAGAAGAGATGGTTACTTTTTCTTGGATGTAAATCTCTACAAAATATGACTCCCGTTATTTTCTTTGAAGTTTTAATTTCCACTTTCCCCAAACTTTTGCCCCATTATTTTGAAAATAAAACAAAAATTGCTGCTACATCTCTATGGGAGACAATTCCAGCATGTATTTGGAGGGTGGTGTGAAAAGAAAGGAACCAAAGATACTTTGAAGGAAAAAAAGATAATATAAATCGTGAGAGAAAGGAGTCAAAGATAGTTTGAAGGAAAATTAGGGAGTATACAAAACTACCTCAACACTAAGCTAGACCTAGTTAAGGTCAGCTATACGAATCCTCATTATCTATTTCCTCTATTTAAATTCAACGTATTCCAGCATTCAATGAATTAGCTTCTCTAACTGTAGAAGTATTCAATATTTTCTGCTGATATAAAAATCACCCGACAAGATGATTAAGAAAACACCTAGCGGATATTGGACTTGACTCATAACTTTGATGCTCTCCTTTCTTATCAAAGTACCGGAATCAAGAAACTCTTGCTCCACTCATTTGGCATCCTTCCGGTCCTTAGTATAGCATGAGGTAGCTTGGTAAGCCATACACCTCTGATCTTTCCAAGGAACTTTCAAACCATTATAGGGATATCATCTGGACCACTTGCTTTTTCCAATCCCCGAGGATTTTCGTGGCATGCTTCACTTTTGTAGGCCTAATTCTACTAGGTATAGCTAAAGTCTATCATGTACAGATATGTGGAGATCTTTAAAGCTATCCTACTGATTCAAGTTGAACAATCAATAAAAATAGCATCTCCATCTCTCTTTGATCTAATTATCTCCTGTAAAACTTTAATACACTTGAGCTGGTTTATCTTTACCCATCTTCTCCAACAACAACATGCCCAGTGAGATCCCACTAGGTGGGGTCTGGGGAGGGTAAATTGTACGCAGACCTTGCCACTACCTCGTGGAGGTAGAGAGGCTGTTTCCGGGAGACCCTCAGCTCAAGAACAACAAATCTAAGTGACAGGAGAGATATAAATAAAACATAACAGCCAATACAAACGATAGCGTATAATCAACAAATGAGACAGTAACAACAAGAAAGTAATGCGATGCGTGAAACGCAGTAAACAGCATAAGGCTAGGTCTACTCCAAATGCTAACAACCCATACCCTTGCAAGGGAAGACAACACGCTAGCCCTACTAACCTACAACCTTAATACGAGACCTCCACTCCTTCCTATCTAGAGAATAGAGAATGCAAAAAATAGAGAATATACTTAGACTAAAATAAAAAATGCTACTTAGACTAACATAAAAAAAAGATTCTCTTTTTAGCTTTACTTTGCAACCTGATCAGCATACAAGAGGAAGATTCTCTCCTGGAATTCCTTTTATTTAACTGGATAGTAAAGAAATTGAGGGAGGAACAGATTACATGATTAAGCTACCAAAATGCCCCAGCAAGTAGAAAAAATGAAACTTAGTACATGATTAAAACATCTAACTTTCAAAACAAAGTCCACAATGTGCGATAGAAAAGGCAAAGAGATAATGATAGACAAACCTCGACACAAGGATTGTAAGCAAATTGCCACCTTCTGCAAAGAAACATAATCTCTCCTAGAAATATGACATCTAGTTTCCTTTTGTATTGTCTTAACTGCAGCGGATAGCTTTAGTGCTCTGTGTGCATCTAGCTCGGCCATCTGCCCTGATCTCAAAAAAATCTTTGTTTGTCCAATCTGCAAAACAATTGTAGCAACCCTAACTGAAGTATAACTTGACTCGTAAATTTGGGAAGTTATTTTGAATGAAAGAAAAGAATATCAGCAGTGCCTAGTAACGGGAGAAAAGAATTTCAATGGGTACACAATATTGTGGAGAAATTTTCAAACATCAACTTCAACTACAGATATCAATGGCGCCTAGTAACGGGAGAAAAGCTCTCAGTGTCTCAGATTAGGAAATTTCACTAGCAATGCTCAACTATATGCAACCATCTAGCAGCAAAAATAATATACAATGCAAGTGAAAGACAAAATATCAGTAGTCTTGAAATTGAGAGCAATTTAACACGTGCTCGAAGTGCAAGAGAATGATTTCCTTTTTTGCATCCCCCCACCCCACCCCACTCACACAAACAAACAAAAAAAAAACTTTATTAAAATATCTGAACTTGCTGCTTGATAGATGCGATTTGTTAACTGAGGCAGGCCTTGCAAGGTAGGTAAAATTTTGATATAAGCTTTAAGGATTGGCTTACATTCATCAAGATGATGGTGAAGGAAATATAAATTTCCCCCTACTGGATGAAATGGGGCATACACACATAAATGTGTACCCACAAGAGTGAATGATTTGATACTACTGATCTCGACATTCAAGAAATAAAATAGATTTCCAAAATAGCAAGAGAAACATCAAATAACCTGATAACCAGCAAGCCCTATCTTTTCTAATATCTTTTTGCACGCAACTTTTTCATCATCCCTGCCCACAAACAAGTTAAAGAAAGATAAGAATATCAACTTCTAATAATCAAAGAAATTGAGGAAACCACAAGATCCTTTTCTTTTTCTTGGGGGGGGGGATCAAGAACAAGACCAGTACTTACTGCTCTTGGAAGACCTCTGGAGCAAGAACACCAAATCGATTCATAAACTCAGAGAATGTCTTATGCGTGGGATAGCCAGCACAACTAATTCTGATTGCCTCTAGAACACCCTTCAAACAACAAAATATAAGCACACATAATTCAAGACTTAAAAAGAATTTTCTACATAAGAAACTGTGAAATTTACTCACACCACAACGTAGCTGCTGCATAATGTTAACGTTCTCAAATATTGCCGGTTTCAGAAGACTGTTAGGCTTCACACATCTAATGTAATGAGGTTCTGTAGAATTCAGAGTTTCCATCAATGATTGGAGTTGTAACTGCAACAGTGAAATTGGAACATTAGAATCTTTCACATACTTAAAGTAAAGACTTGGAACTAGGCTGTTAGTTCTTTGGTGAAAAATACTCTTAGATCACAAAAATCTAAGAGGACATAATGGATAAAGTAATATATAGAATTAAACTTGTGGTTGAAATGGAGAATGATATGATAGTGATATGAAACTGATGATACCTACCAAATATAAGGCAAGTTTTATATTATGGTTATTGATTAGCAGTGTTAACGAGAGTGGGAGTTGGACCTCTAAAGTGTAACATCTCCACGGGATGAGTGTCAAAAGTCGCAGAATTAAGATGGTTTTGCAATGATACAATAATAGACAGGATTAGAACGATCATATCCCTGCACTTTGACATCTGATGTAGACATATCTCTACATGATGTACAAATCTCTAAACATACAATCTAGTCACGATTGTAAAAAAAGGAACTGAAATAACGAGATGAGTGTCAAAAGTCTTTTTAGTACAAAAACTCTGATTTGGATAAAACTACAAATTATTAAGCATTGGGATGAAATAAAATGGAACTGAAAGGACATTGGTGGACTCATTTGGGCAATCAAACTCATTTTCTATAGATGCTTAGTTGATTGATAGATCACCAAAATTCATAAGTATATAAGTTCGTAACTACCTTGAAACGAGAACCAATGGATGAGAACTTGGAAGATTTGGATGAAGATTTAGTTGACTCCTCAGCAACAGGAGGAAAAAGGCCCACTACAAATGGGCATTTAGAAGCACTTAACAAATCTTGATGCTCAGGAACGACATAGTCTTTGTTCTTATCTAAAAACTGATCAGACTGGTATTGAACCTGGTGGGGAAAAAAAAGGAAACATTTAAAACTAGTAATAATGCTCCATATCCACCGTAGAAGCAATTGACTAGAGTTCTAGGGAAATACACATATCATATTACCTCTCCAGCATAATGAGCAATGGTAAAATCAGTGCGGGACAATTTTGGTTTAACAAAGCGTTTGTTGGTCTTGAATATCTGATAAAGCTTCTGTGAGAATGTTTCATGAGTTGACTTGGGGAACATACTGGAAATTCCATTTCAAAGAAAACATAAATTAGAACATTTGTCTCTATCACAGAAGTTCAGATGAATTGTTACATATCTTACCAGGCTTCATCAAGAAGAGCAATGATGCCTCCAGGTTTCTGTAAACACAACACAAATCAACTCATCATATGCCACTTCACATGATACAGTGATTTGAAAAAAGTGTTACGATTTTAAAGCAGTGTTGGTAAGGGATGAACCCAAGGTAATCAATTCTTGCTAACAAATGCATGGTGCTTTTAATGAATATGAGCTCACTTTAAACATCAGAGATACTCCTAAGATTATGAGCTCACTTAGATGTTCTAGTTTCAGGTTCTTAATTGCCTATCCTAAAGGATATGATAAAGATGCTCTGTTCTAAATTCCGGGTGAGTTCCTAAACAATATTAAGAAAGAATAAAGCAGAGAGAAATGCATGTACATTTTATCTGGGAGATGCTAAATGGCCATGGACATGAATTCAGATAAAGAAATGTCAACTAGAGGGCTCTTAGACTGTATTAATAATAAAAGCATGCATAAGGTCCTTGGGTCTAAGTGGACTATGCCAGAATACACAGCAGATCTTCAATTGGTAGAACTTTTAAGATCTCTATAATTAGTTTTTGGGTTCACAATTAGTGTTGATAACTTTTTGGAGGTGTCCTGCATAGAGGAATACAAATTACCAGTTTTCGAAAAAAATGTGAAACCCAAAAAAGTAGCATACTCACAATAGTTAAATGATACTTAAAAGTTCTACATGTAACTAAACTTAAACTATAAAACAAATAATCAACTATAAGTATAGATGTTACTTTGATTTATATTTACAATTAATTCAACAATCATTTAACTGGAAATCTTTCCATTTAATTTGCTGCATGAATATTATATGCATAACACAAATTTTATTCTCACATTAACCAACTATTTGGAGTTCTACATATAATAGGATTATAATGAAATATTATCATATTCAACTTCTAACATTTAAACACAAGAAACTTATTCTCAAGGCTATGACTTATGAGTTAGTACCCAGGCGTGTACAATAGTATTCAGAAGCTAGAATCCAAAAAGAATCTGACCAAACAAGTATCCATGGCAACTATTAGTACTAGCATTAGTTGCACAAGTTTCGCTGCTCAATGCAGCAATGGAATAATATACAGATGACAACTACAATACGCAACATGATATATTTGTATATATGGGGAGAAAAGGATTCACTGTACCTTTTCAATAAGATCTAAAACATCCTGATTGTCCACGAATTCTATATAGCTCCAGTCTATCTCTTCCTTAGTGTATTCCTCCTGCTCCATCTTGAACATGTGCTGGAAAGAGATGATTTCACAGTAGCTGAGTTGTGCTTAGCAAAATGGACAGACCTGCTTCTATAAAATTTCAACTAGCATACCTGGTTAAAATGTTGCTGCAGCTTCTCATTAGTATAATTAATGCAGAATTGTTCAAAACTGGAAATAGAAGTTAGAAGAGTCAAATCTCAAATGCAAGACACCGAGTTAACTAGTTGTTTTGTTTGTCCACCAGTGCCTACCTATTACTTTTGAAACTTTCAAAACCATAAATGTCAAGAACACCAATTAGAGATTTTGAGTGAGGATCTTGTCCAATCGAGTTATTTATTTTGTCCACCAGCCTGTGAACAGTAGAAAGGATGTGTTTTTAGTGTCAATGTAAGCGATCAGAACCACAGTAATCTGGCAGTGACGGTCGAAGCATACCAGTCGAATAAGCGAGAATATAGTGTTTTAGCTAATCCATCTCTGCTTACTGCTGCAGCTTCAGGATCAAGACTTCTCTTTATAACTTCTTCAGGAGTGACCATTACACGTCTTAGTAGGGCATCCTCCAGTGAAGTAACATCACACCTGATAGAAGAACCAAATCAAATAAAAAAGTCATGCAAGAAAGAGCAAAGGAAGAATAGTGGGATATGAACGGCAGAACATACATCAGAAGCTCTGCAGTAGTTTGAAGATGAAACCTAGATTTGTCATCTTTCACAACTGATGAATCAACTTCATTGCCCTTTTCGAATTCTATATTACCAAGATGAAGAACAGAAGCCACAACACTAAAAATTGCTTCCTGAAGAAGAAACATCGTAGCTTATTCGAATCAGAAAGGGTAATTTGCAGGAGAGACAAAAACAATTAGAGCATTACCTGCTCTTTCTCGCTAATTCCAACAATATCCATTGCCCTCCTTATCTCAAGATAGTCATGGGCATCATTAACACCTACTAGTTCATAGCAATTTGATTGGTTGAGATAGCGAAATGATTTGGGATCCCCCAACTTGTACCTTTTGATCTCCTGTTAAGATTGGGAAAATCTCAAAAGGATATGGTGAAAATCAAATTAACTCGGGCCGATGAAAGATGTAAAAAGGAATAGCACTGATGCAAATTACCTCCTGTGGTGCTGCACATAGAAGGTAGAAACAGTGATAGTTCCGTTCAGGGTCTGAAACTTGGCAAACTCGAGATCTTTCAAGAAGATACGTTCTAATAGCTGCTCCAGATATTCTTCCATTCTTATCAAACTGAATCTCCACAAATTTACCGAAACGGCTGTAAACAACAGATTCTAAGTAGCTTTAGGAAGGAAAAAATTTCAACTGAGTGTTGAAGCAATTATGAGTCTATTTTCTTATTGAAGCATGCGTAGAGTAGTTTATCTTACCTTGAATTGTTATTTCTAACTGTTTTGGCATTGCCAAATGCTTCAAGTACTGGATTTGACTGGAGATATAACAATCATGAGTTAAAAGAATAATATAGCCAATAGAGAAGACTTTAAAAGAATAATATAGGCTATAGCCAATAGAGAAGACTTCAAAAGAATAACATAGGCTATAGCCAATAGAGAAGGCTCTAAGAGAAATAGACAGAGAAACTATCAGTTTGAAGCCCTGTCCACTTGATTTAGTCTGTTTAGACATGAAACATAGCCTCTAGGAAATTATTTGATTCAAACGGATGTGAAAGCCTTCCAAATACTATGAAATTTTCACCTACACATTGACCCCTCTACAAACTTTCAATTAAGGAAACTACTATCAAATTCATCAAAATCAAATTTACATTTATTGACGAATGTCATTTCAAAAATTTCACTGTATGTATTATAAATTATTTAGTTCAGAAGTTACATCAACACCGCAGATTCTTTTTTATACTCTACAATCTTTTTATAAGTATTCTATATCACTTTTCATTAAAGTAATATAATCATTAAATTTACTTTGAAAATTTACTGTACCAATTTTTGAACCACATCCTTTTCTTAAATTTAATACTACATTAAACTCCACTTTTTATGTGAATATGATACTTCTTTTCTTTTCCACGCATTCACATCTCCAACAACAATCAATCAACCCTAACTAGTAAGTGTTAGTCAAATGAATCGTTTGTATCTATTCCATTCTATTTGGGTTCCATCACTGACATTCACATTACTAAAGTCTGTATAGCTGAAATTGTGCAGAATTTAAGCATACAAGTTCCTAAGTACCTGTCCATGTAATTTAAGGAAGTACAAGAATTTAATGCAGTAATCCAAGCATTTAGCTTACCTCCAGCACTTGTTGTTCCACAGTCCGTTTTTGAGAGCCCTTATGGCCGCCCAAATAGGCAAGATATTGCATAAGCATTTTAGTAGTTTCAGTCTTACCAGCACCACTTTCACCACTAACCAGTATAGAATTGCTTTTACCCTCGTTGATCATCGCCCTGATTCATTTTCAAGATTTTGGTAACAAAGCATTATTTATCATGAGAAAAATAATGTGGAGTTGAAATGGTATACAGGAGTACCTGTAAGCAGTGTCAGCTATAGCAAAGACATGAGGACTTAGTTTACCGAGTTGTACTCCTTTGTATTTTGCCATCATGCGGCCATCATATAAATCAGGCAGTTTTTGGAACGGATTAATGGCTATAAGAATACTTCCAGTATAAGTCTGCCAAGATGTCAGAGTATGATTAATATTATGACAAAGCGATCTGTAGCTGCAATTTCAGTCCTTTCATTCACCAAATTGAACATAAATTAAATAAAGTTTTGAGCATTGGACTATAAGCTTACATAGATTTCGTTGAGTTGATATCTTGTTGCCAAATTATGTAAGACTCCAGGCTCATGCAAATATGAAAGTTCAGTCATGTCATCCACTCCTCCATCAGGAGCATCTTCATCCTTGGGGTGAGTTTTTGATAAAGTTGCTACAACCTAGACGAAATGAAAGAAAAATATGCAATAGTAAAAAGCCAGGACATTGCCAGTTTGAAGATGTGTATTCTCAATTGGGGATCGCATCAATGTGGCTTAGCAGAAAACTAGAGTTAGATAGCAGTAAATTAGAACAAATGCAGTGAATCTTTCTTTTACCACTAGAATATGATAAGAATAGTTACAATAACGTGCCAAGATTTGTGGAAAGAAGGTTAAATGAAAATACAGTTAAAATGCAGAAGGAAGATAATGGATACATATGGGTATGGAAGCCACAAAAACCATACAGTTGCAAACTACATAACGTGCGTCAAAAAAGACTAGGTGAGTCACATATAGATATAAAACTAATAACTCAAATGAGACTAGAAATTAGATCCATTATATTCTTAGTAGTTGAAAGACATTGTGAATTTCCATCATCAGAATATTGTATTTCAAGTCATTTTAGAATCTAATCAATTAGGCTATAAGAAAACCAGCTTTTTAAGTTAAGTTAGACCTTGATCACACAATTGAGTCCAGCGTAAATACTAAAATGCTATTATGGGAAAATAAATAAGCAATAGTAATTTCATGAATGAATACTGTTCAATGTAAAAGAGTTAGTCGTACCGTCCTCCCATCAGATGTCTGAACCTGAACTTCCTGTCCATTAACCTCTGATACTTGTGCATCAATCCAAGCAACTGATGGATCCTCAATCCACACTTGAGAACCTACAGTAATATTTATTGGAATGCCCTGCATAGATGATTAAGATTCTTTTTAACTGTAGGAAAAGAATATAATTCTCATCGTTATAAGAAAAGAATATAATTTGCACGATCTAAGGATATACAAAGATGACACATCTAAATTGACATGCAGACATAAAATCAATAAGCGTCGTAAAAAGCTAAATGTTAAGAGTTCAATAACTACTTTTTAGCCCCAGAATGTTTCAATTTTTGCTCCTAAGTATAAAGTAACATGATAGCGAACTTTACAATAGTATTTGTAAACGTTCACTTGCATTCCATTCACACAAAAAGTCTAAAAACAGAACAAGAACATAAGATATGTAGTACATCACTAGATGTCCTGCTTTAACTTCTTTACATCCAACTTAGCAAAAGCCTGAGCACCTTCTCACCCCTTGCTCAACATAGCCCCCGCTCCCCACCCAACAGAACTTCACTGGTTAAGAATTCTCCATCAACTTTTCAGGGTTCACATTTTCTGACATCAAACAAGTTAATATTACTCTTTCTGTAGTATAATTATTCTGTTGATCAGTCTCCACGGCGATGCTACTGCAGCATTCTAACATAATGTAACATGCCTTTATTAGTTTCCTAGACAAACATAAATTATTCTCCTGCAGAGGGGAGAGGGATGCGAGCAACCACATGATATTCGCTGATTTTTGGCTCTCTCTCTCTTGCGCACACATACAGACACACGCCTTTCGTTGCAGTTGTGACTTTCGACCCATAAAAATGGAAGTACAATTCAAGAACTATAAGACTTCAAACTACTTCAAATAATTGGTTTAAGTTAGTGTCGACATACATAATCACTATAACCTGTGTCAACAAACAACTACTGTCCGTCAATCCAAAAGTAGCTGGGATTCACTATATATACAATCCAACAAATTATCCACTTAATGTAAAGTCATACAGAAAAGATTACATTCTCAGATGCTGAATTCAAATGAATATACAATTACTGCATCTTAATCCGGGGCGGAGCTATAACCTAAGTAGCTTTGGCTCAAGCCCTTTATTATTTTTTTTTCAACAACGCAGTAATAAGCTGTGTTTTCTAGATTCCAGAACCCATAAATGAGCTCCGGCATCTGATCACTGGATCCTACAATCCTCTTACAAAGCAGAAAGTCCTTTCTGTCACTTATTTTCAATCGATTGTAAAATTGATTAATCATTTTCTCTCCATATTCTCTAATCTATGAATATTTTATCCAATAATGATGACAAACAAAATAGCAGCAAAATGAAACGGAAAATAAAGTTAAGACTCACCATTTATATCGGAGAAAGAGCTAATCAATTTTGCATTTCCATTGAGAAGAAAAAAAAAATGAAGAATGTGGTCGCATAAATTGTGAAAATTCCAGAAATCGAAAATCGCCGGTATCGGAAGGGAGATTTGTGTAATAATAAAGTGATGGGCGTCGACAGAGAAGGTGATTAATTAATTGATCAGCGTAAGAGAGATTGATTTTGATCTCATGGAATGATCGATGAATGGATGCGACAATCATCGTGACGAGAAACTGTACGCTGAGAAATAGGAATTTTCGAAATCTTCGCCTATTTTCGAGTGCTTTTTGTGGCTCTCTTCGCTTTCCTTCTCCGTGTGCGTGCATGGGGTGGGTTTGCACTAATACGATTGTTTTGCACATTTTATCCCTATTTTTAACCTTTTTCTGCAAACGTAGCCTTAATTAAGTATATATTTTTGTCATATTTACTAGTAATTCTTTTTTATAATTTAAAATAATTATATATTGTCTAATCAGTGGTAGATCCAGAATTTTCACTTAAGGGGTTCGGAAAAAAAAGAGTGCCTAAGATTTGATCTTGGAACAGTTTTGAACCCTTCAACCACTAAGTCAACCTCTAATCTTACATTCACGAGGTTCAAAATCAATATATTGATATAAAAATTCTTAAAAATACCTTAAATATACAACATAATTTTTTTGTTGAGGGATTTGGTGAACACCCTCAGCAACCTCTAGGTCCACTCATGTGTCTAACTAATTAATAATTTCGATATAAATTTTCAAATCAAATACAACTAGATATATGTATTTTTTGGTACTAGATACAGTGGAATAGAGAGAGCCAAGCAAGAGAAGGAGAGACACGGCCGAGATAGTCTATGTATCTCAAATACATATGAATTACACTCGATACATATATATGAGATACTAGATACATTTTAAAAGAGAGGTATATAGGGAGAGAGGCAAGCGAGAGAGTCAAATACACGTGAAACTACTTAAGTACTGTGCATCTAAAACAAAGTACACATAACTCTCACTCATATATCTGAGATATATGTATATGAACATGTCAGATACATGCATCAAATTTCAAATTCTGATAAGATTCATATTTGTGTACTCATATATCTGAGATATATGTATATGGACATGTTAGATACATGCATCAAATTTCAAATTCTGATAAGATTCATATTTCATAATATTGAAAACTCACGTGAAGAAAAGCAATTTGCTTGCTTAAACTAATGAAATTTGTATTAACTTTTTCCCTTTCGCTTAAAAATGTTTTCTTTGAGAAAAAAAACGTAACAACCAAAACAAACACAAATACTACATGTTGTGTTTGGCATGGAAAGATTTCGATTTAAAAATAAATAAAAATCAATTGATTGGTTAAAATATTTTATAAAAATAAATTCTTTGAGATTAGAAAAATGATTTTCATGGTGAATGAAGAAAAATAATAATTTAATTTTATCAGTTGTGCACGTAGATGATAATCTAGGTTAATCCTTTTAAATTTTATGTTAAATATTTTTACTAAAATTGCAGCAGTTAACATACATGAACTCATAACATTAAAACTATGGTGAATACAATCATAATGAAGAACCTTAAAAGTTGAAAATATTAAATATATAGAACTAAAATTCTAAATCCACCTAGCTCAACGCTTCACTGACCCCTACCACCTCCACGTCTACCTTAGTGTTTGCGTAGATTTTATATACACTTGCCTCTTGAGTTCAAAATTTTTCTTTACTTAATTATATAAACACTAAAAAATTAAGTAAAAAATCTTTTTTTAATTATATTAGTAAGTATGAAACACACCTTTTTTGAAAAATAAAATTCCTTATCATATACTAATGGTCGTGGATATTGAATTTCTGAAATATTTTTCTCCGTTATAAATGGGTCATGACCCGTTCAATTCTAAAACTCTCAACAGTCAAACTTCCTTTCCATGACTCAAAAAGTATGCACAGCTCGTCAAAATAGAAACACAGTGTCCCTATCATCTTACGTACCAATTTCATGCATATAAATATACCCCTTCTTTTTTTGTAAATATATTCATTCATTCCATCATAAATACTTACAACTCTATTTTCTCTGGTGCAATTTATTTTTTCGTTCATACGGGAATAATTTTGTCCACTTAATTATATATCATCGATCAACATGAAACCCCAAATTTGTGCGATTTTTTTCTTAATAATTAGCATGATCATTTTTGTGCCACATGTAGAAGGCACTAGGATTCTTTTAGAAAAAAGAGGTCACAACAAATATATTTGGTTATCGTCTTTGTATAATCCTGTTCCTACTCCGACACCGAACCCCGGTACCGGAAGTAGCGGCACCGCCAGTAAAATGATGGTCATGGAGAAGAATTTTGTTGGTCGGAGTAGGGTTAATAAGGTTCATTCTCCTCCCACTCAGACATCACCAAATACTCGTCCTACTACAGACGAGTATTATTCACAAACAGTATAAGTTGAAAAATGGAGAGACATAAATATTCAAATAGTCGATCTCAACTTACTTGAATTATATATTGAGACGTAATTTATAAGTAGATGTTGTCGATATTACAAGATCATTCATTCTTTTTCTTTTTTTTTTCCCATTGTTTTTATTGTAATTCCTGATCATGCTTCACAATAGAAGCAAAGTCAAATAATTAATTAGAAGTTACCAAATTGTTTTAATTTATAGATTTTATTGTTATATATAGTATAAACTGTTACTCCAAATCTCCAATATTGTCCCAGTTTTAATGTATGTTCAGTTTTTGCATTGGTTATTTATGGTTATTGCCTTTAATAATTTCGTTATTAAAATAATTGCTATTATCACTTCTATACTGTAAAAAACTCTGATTTTATATATGCATGAAAAGATAAACTTTGAATAACGATGAAGCTATTTTAAAAAAAAATAATGAGATGATTACGAAAAAAGGAATTTTTTCCTCCATCGAATATATTCCGTCTCTTTGACATTTGGCTACATGCATGGAGCAGGTAATTATTTTCGTTCCTTAATTAATGCTACTATATATATTTTACCAATTTAATAAACCTTAAATCAACTACTTCTCTTACTTATTGCGTTGGCTGTTATATCAGGTCAAAAAAGGAGGTTATGGAATATACATTTGAAATAATATTTTCTTAAATCCTTGTGTATGTAATTGATTATAATTACGACAGGAGGAATTAAGCCGTTTAATTAATGGCGCTTTTTCGACATGCATTTGCATGCAAACTCAATGGGAACAAGTGTTTTAATTTACTTGAGTAGTCGATCTATCGAAAATCTCTATTTTTACAAACAAAAAAAGTTGAGTATATATAATTTTTTTTTTCAGACTTCCTTTATAAGATTATATTGAGTATATGTTCTTGGTTGTAGAATAGGTTATTGAAAGTGGAAAAAGAAAGTTTATTTTTCAAAGTTGGAAATAGTAGTACGAAAAACAAAAAACAAATGCGATTAGACTTCTATTAGTTTTCATGTTTGGTAGCAAAAAACATGTTGTTTGACAAATTTTTACAAAGTAGACTTGGTACATATATACTGAATCCAATACACATGCAATGCAAGCCTTTAATTTTCAGATGGGCCTAGTAGGCTACTACTCAATGAGATAAGCTAAACTTCAATGTCTGATAATTAAGCCTGAATTTCATGCATAAATTCTTTAAATTCAATCATTCATTTTTTTTAATCAATAATCTCACCACTTCAAAATAGAAATCTCGGAAGTTCGATCCTATAATGCTTAGCTTCAAATACGTATATATAAAGTTTTTAAACTTCAACTATAAAATAATTCTTAAATAATAATTATTTCATCTTATATTAAGTGTCATCTTAACAAAAATGAACTAAATTATCTCTAATTAAGAAATGTCTTTAGAAAATTAAACATTATTAAGAAGATGGAGTATAAGGTTGAAAAACATATTAATTATTGTCTTAAATTTTCAAGATAATACTTATTTTAGAATTTTCTTTTTATTAAGATAAACACTTATTTTGAAACGGAAAATTGATTATTCATGATCTTCGCACTCTTGTAAGTCGTAAAACATGTATACGTGTGTAGTGATCTGTTATACTGGAAAAAAATTATAGTATATAAAATATTGAATACAAAATTTTAAAAAAGAATTACACGTCATTTAAATCTTGATCCCAGTACAGAACACATATCAGTATTGTTGAGTTTTCTTTTGTTTATTACGTTTACCAAAATATATGACCAATTCAGTTCAATTTCTCATTCTTAAGCCCAGCAGTCAATGGTCAAAGCTCTCTCCTATGAAACTATAGTAATTCTTGAAGAAATCAAAGTCTTAAAACACATTATATTATTATGTCAGTATATAAGTATGTAATGGAATCATATTCATAAACAAAATATATAGAGCTTCTTCATTCAAACATTTTTACAACAAAATCAAGCATGATGTTAACTCAAAGTAACAATTTTTCTTCTCATGATGTTCGTATGATGATCATATTATTACTAATTTTTTTCACAATTTGCTTGAGCCAAACAAGTGAAGCAGGAAGAGTACTAAAGGAAAAAGACGAATATCTTTTATTACCATCTCTGCAAAAAACACCGGTCCCTACTCCTACACCCAATCCAGGTACTGGTGCTCGTACGACTAGTGTCATGAGCCAAATTACAGAAAGGAACTTTGCAGGTCATAAAGAGACGGAAGCTCTTCCTCCTCCTCTTCCTTCTTCCAGTAATATTACACAACATAAGGTCACAGATAAGGCAGTTGGCTTATTGGCTGCTCATTGAAGATATCTATCATTATTAATTATAATATAAGCAACAGTACTGTTGTAAATTCTAATTATTTTTATTTAATTTATTCCTATATCATTTCATTTATTTTAATTAACATACTGTGTATAACGAGATGCTAATATATGGGCTTCGATAGATCAATATGATGACGAGTATAATTTAAAGCGATATAGTACTCTTTATGTTTCTCTTCTTACCTTTCCGCATGAAGCAACGACTTCATTATATAGTCATGACTTTTCTATTTATTTATAGATTGACATTGGACTTAACAATTATCTAATCTTAGTAATATAACTACTTCTAAGTTATTATGTCAATATTTAATTATTAATCCTACGTTAATTAGGCGGCATAACTTAAGCAGTGGCTGCAAAATCGGATATTCGTGCACTTCAAGCTAATTAATCGGTCCTTAAGTTTAGACGATTAATATAACGCCAGTGATGACTTTCATTATGAATTTATTCTTCAT